CCGGCCAAGTCGGCCCCGGCCAAGTCGGCCCCTGCCAAGTCGGCCCCTGCCCCTGCACCCGCCAAGTCTACTGCAGCTCCAGTAGACTTGGGTGTCTATGTGGTGGACTATGTCACTAACGATGTCCCAGTGATGGCAGTGCCCCCTGTGGGATTGCAGCAGGCTCCTACTGTTGTTGTAAAAGCACAGGAGCCAAAGAGGAAGGCCTCCAAGAAAAAAACTGAGCCTGGTAAGCAGATATGTTTAGAGATATATACTTACCAATTTGGTAGTTTTAAATGTACATTCTATTAGAAATTGTCTTATGTTTTTTATTTTTTTATTTTCTGATATTATAGGTGACACTGTTTTACAAACTGTTGAAATCGACAGATAATGATCATGGCACGTGAAAAATGCATGTAGCTTCAGTCTTAAGAATCCTGGCTGTAGTGTGACCAGGCCTCTGAAGGACATCACATAACCTGCAGTTTCACCTGTGAACACTACATTTGTGCTTACTAACTTACCAAATTTCAGTAGTCTTACCCCGATTTAATTTATCTCCATTAAAAGAAAAAATGTCTTTGATCTTGGCTACTCTTGGTCCCAGATATTGTTTTTTTTTTTTTTTTTATGCTGAGGTCTACTTTTATGTGTGAGATGGTGTTACTGTACTGATGTGGTGTCCACATTAGTATTTGAATTCTCTGCAGACTGACTTTATCCACAAACCCTTTGCTGCATATCAGTGATCAGAACTACTGTTGTCTGTGAGTATATTGTTAAATGGTAAATCTAGTTAAACTAGAATGATGACTGTTAAATTTAGCCTTCTCATTTGAACTGATGGAAATGGTTGTCTAGGCAGGAACTGCATTAGCCATAACACTGGTGATAGTAATCGGACTTGAACGTCTGGAGGTTGAATGGGAGCGTGTTTGTACAGTTGAGTCATGCACACATAGACTCACAGTCTAAGATGATAATACCCTGCCAGTACTGACAAACTTCCTAGGTGTGTACCAGTGGGAAATGGTGCCAATGACAGTAGTGGGTAATATCTGGCACTCAGCTCTGGAGGGCAAAGAGCACACCGGCTTGTCCAAAGACCGCTGCCTTTTTTGTTAGCTGACAAAGGCTCTCAGTGCCCTGACAACGGGTGGTGGGGGTTCTCATTGCCCAAGGCTCGTCTCCGACTGGTGCCACAGTGCACCATCATTTTGCCATCCGAAGCTGCCTGAGGCCCTAGACCCAAGGGACAGTTCACAGTCTTGTCCTTTTCCTGAGGCAGTGTGGGAAGGCAGACTTGACTATGACAACCTAATGAGATGTGAAAGTGTCTGGCCTTTCAGTTGTAAAGATGAAATACATTTTGAATTCCCTATCTGTGTGTTTCATTGAAATGTTCTGTGTTTGCCTCTTTAGTGGCAGTGGTAGATTCTGCTGATGCTCCCCTCTACCTGCCCTACAAGGCTCTGGTATCCACCATCAGCAGCATGGTGTTCAGTGAGGGAGAGGCTCATAGGCTCATCGAGATCCTGTCTGAGAAAGTCGGCATCATTCAGGACACCTGGCACATGGTATGTAACACCGCTGCCACTGATGAGGAAGAGGACACCTTTTAGATACAGGTGCTTTGAGTATAGTTCACTGAATACATTGCAATCTTGAAGGGAGATTCACTTTGTTCTTTCTGTGTATGCTTGCATTGTTAGGCTACTCAGAAAGGAGACCCAGTGGCTATGCTGAAGAAACAACTGGAGGAGAGGGAGAAACAACTAGCAACAGAACAAGAGGATGCTTCTGCAGCAAAGAACCGTCTAAGAGAGCTCACCAAGGTTAGACAGATGGTGTCAGATTCCTGCCACAACACATCAGCTGGTCTATTGCCATGATTAGATCCTTACTACTAGTGAGACAAAAAGTGTAGTTTGACATGATGGCGGGACTAGGAGAAACGGGGCTAGCAAATTACATAGCTTCTCATGTGTTTTTGTCCTGAACCAGGCTCTGGGGGGATAATAGATTTCCTTTCTAAGATTTCATGGCACTAGTTGTGTTAATACTTGACTGTCAAATGACTGCTTGGCCACAGATATATTAGAATGAATCTGAATGTGCTCTCTGATTATGCTGTTTGCTTATCAGGAGCTGTCTGCAGAGAAGTCCAAGGTGGTCAGCGTGGAGGCGAGGCTGAGCTCCCAGCTGAGTAAGAAGGAACAAGAAATGATTGCCCTGCAAGCTCGCATGCAGGCCAGTTACCAAGACCATATAGCCCAGACCCAGAGGCTTAATGCAAAGGTTAGTTCTTAGATACAGGTGTTACACAATGTACAATTCATGTTTGTGCACTTGAGTTTACATTTTCTTTTTATGTTGCTCTCTTATTACTGCTAATGAGAAGTGAAGATACAGTTTTTCCTTTCCTGAAACTTGGTGTTCTTGAAAAAGAGCATGCAAGTGTTCAATATATTTACTTTATTAAAAAGAAAAAAAAATACTATTCCAGGTAATTAGCCTGCAAGACCAGCTGGAAAAGGGCCCCAGTGCCCAACTTGCTCGTCTCCAGCAAGAGAACTCCATTCTCCGTGATGCCCTCAACCAAGCCACTAGTCAGGCTGAGAGCAAGTGAGTCTTTCCCTGTAACACTAAACGAGAAACAAAACCCTCTTTATATTGATCTTAATAATAGTAAAAATTCATTAGTGTGTACAAGTCCCAGGCTTGAAGGTTTGCTTGTATTTTTTTAGCATATATCCTGATTCTTTCTGCCCGTCTCTGTTTTCTTTCTCTCCTTTATTCTGTATTTAGACAGAATGCGGAGCTGGCCAAGCTACGTCAGGAATGCGCTAAGTTAACCAAGGAACTCGGAGAGAAGACAGAAAGTGGGCATGCTGAGGAGCACATCAGGAAAGGGCTGGAGGCCAAGATCTCAGCTACTGAGAAGCAACTCTCCCTGCTACAGGTTGACGTGGGAATGCCACATCATCTCTACTATGAATTACATTGAACATAATCACGTTTCCACATGGAAACAGATTTATTCTATATTCTAGCTTTTTGTTTATGAACAGCCATTTAGTTGGAGACTACTGGGGTGTAAAGGTCTGCATATTCGTACCAGACTGTTTCAGTGCAGGATTTTAGGTTTAGTGCCGATGTACCAAATGCAATCTGTAATAGTCAACAGGAGGCTTATGTTATGTGTGGAACATTTCAGATCCGTGTTCCCACATGAACATATAAAGTAGTGGACTGGAGCACAAACACCTCACACTTAGCTTAGTCCAGCCTCTGGCTAAAGAACTTTATTGCTAATCAAACGAGAAGCCAGAGCTAGAAGACTCTCCCTTATCATTAAGGTCCCCTTTTTGCAAATACAATGGCTTCCTGGTGAAATACAACAACAGACAGACAAGTGGATAAGATGCCTTATTTGTTTATTGTGCTCTGGTCCACCAGTTCAGTGGTGTTTATGGCAAGATGTCAAACTTGCTCACTCTTTTCAAACAGCAACACGTGAACATGAATATTGCTGTTGTGAGGAAAAAAGAGTGAGGTACAAACACTGTTTCCTTCATCATTTAAACAGCCTTTCCCTGGTAGATGAAACATTTATTACTAGACGTTTGAGGCAGTATTCTGTTTCTTATTCAGTTTTATTATTACATATTTGTTTCTTTAAAAATGTAATAACGTTTTATAAACTTTTATAACTGATGTTTCTAAAAGTTCAGTGACAAGAAATGTTAGGACTTTTTTTCCCCCCATTGCTGTACCAAAAATGAACCAATCAAAACTGAGGTACATACCAAAACATGATTTTTGTGTACCATTACACCCCTAGTCTCTACAGATTGCAAGCCTAAGCTTTCCCACTTACTGTCTAGCCATTTAATGTTATGGGAAGGTTAACTGTCTTGCAATCGGCCCAGGCCTGCGCTGGAATGCAGCCATGCAATAATGGGGCTGCAGGGAAAAAGCTTCATAACACCAGCTGTGATGTGTGCGAGGAGAGGATCATGGCCTTTTGTAACTAGCTGTAAAAGGGCATGAACAATATGATGCTATTAACAACACGTGTCTTTTAAACATGCAGAGCATCCCTGTCTTAACATTAGCTTTTCATATACTGTCAGCCTACGCAGTCTTTCACTGATGGAATGCTGCTCGTCTGAACTATTAAGTTATGTGGAGCAAGTGAGTCAGAATGTCCTGACTGCATTCATTTCATTTAATCAGATGGGGTGTAGACTACATGCACTGATATTGCCTTGTGCTGCTAAATGGGATTATTCATGAACCTTTGCTGCCCCCTGCTGTTTGACATATTTAAATTAATTCTGTCATCAGGTCAGCCATGCGGAGAGCGAGCAGGCATTACAGAGGAGACTGGAGGAGGTGTGTGAGGAGCTCAGAACAACACAGAGTAGAAATAGCAGTCTGCAAGCCACTTTGGAAAAGGCCCAGCAGGACAGCAGTGCACTCTCAGGTCAGACACTGGGCAAACAATGTCTTAATGATGACCAGATGTTAAGGCTTAACTTGGTGTCCTAATGGCAAGGATTTAAAATCGGAAATTGGAATGACATCTTAGACATTTATGGAATTTTTCTGGAACCAGAGGAATAATTGAGTGCTTTGTTTTGTCCCTGCAGAATTTCAAGTGCACGTGGGGGGATTGGAGGCTAAGATCAGGGAGCGCTCGGCTCAGGTGGATGCCCTCACTGCCCAGCTGGAGGAGACTCAGGCAGAGAAAAGCCAGCTTGTACAGCAGGTGGCCTCCATCAACTCACTGCTGGAGGCCAGTCAGAGCAAGGCAGAGGAACAAACCAACCAGGTAGGACAGACTTTGTATATTTGACTTTTCTGAAATGGCCGAGCGCTGGACCACATAGTCACCCTTAATGACACGTGTCATGTCTGATTTGGCAGGTGAATATAGGAGAGCTGGAACAGCTAAAGATAAGGCAAGTGTTTGATCCCCCGCTTTTCATCTTTTGCATAAACATCTGTTCCATTTATTGATTTGAAATGCTGTGTCCTCCCTGCAGCCTTCAGGAGAGAGACAGCCAATTGAATGCTCTTCATGAAGATCTAAAACAGCTGCAGATGAAGCAGGAAGCTGCCGTATGTGTTGCAGACATCTGTTGTCAAATACTGTAGTATCACTTCTTGAATATTCAGATTTTTTTTTATTCATACAAAGAGGTCACTGCTAATGAAAAATAATCTTCCATTCTAATAGGAGAACACTATCATTGAACTTGAGCAAAGAAATAAAAGGTATAGTGCTTTTTACTATTTATTTTTTTGACTCAGATCTTAGACCTGCCTCACTTTTGTCAGCTTTTTGATTGTTTGTACTTGTCCCTTTAGGGAGGATGCCAGTCTTATCGCATCACTTCAGGATGAACTTAAGACTCTCAAAGAAGAGATGGTGCAACTTAAGAGCATGCCAGTAAGAGTTCCCTGGATGTGTTGCATGATTCTTGTTCTAAAGCTGCTGTACAGAGCGAAAAAATGTTCTCTGACATTTGCATGTCTTCTCTTATTTAGCAGTCAGATAGGTCCGAAGAGCTCAGACAACTACAGAACAGGTAAAGGACTTTGGGATATTAAAAGATCAGTCTCACACATTGTTACATTTGTTACTTACATCTCTATTTTTTTCTGTTTTGGTTGTGGACAGTCTGTCTGAGAAGGATGCCATTGTTACATCACTACAAGAGGAGTTGAGGGAACTGAGAGAAAAGACAACCAATGACGCAGTAAGGCTCTCCTTAGACAACGGTGTCTCATCAGTCGAACACAATCCCCTTACTGATTGTGCCATTCATTGTTTCAGCAGAGCACCATGTCACAGCTGACAGCTTTTCAAACCGAAACCAAAGAACTTCTCCAGACTCTGTTCCCACAGATACCCTTAGACACAGAGCAGGTAAGAAAAAGGAATTTCTGATTATTTTGGTCATTAGCTGTAAAAGATTATGCACATCATGATTATGTCTTACATTTTTGTGTTTTTATATTTGATTTTCTTTCTTTCTTTTTTTTTTTTTTTTTTTTTTTTTCCTCATTTAGTCCAAGTGGTTGCAAGTATTTACACAGAAAGCTCAGGAATCTCTGAGCCAGCAGAGCCAGGAGTCTCAGTCAAACACAGCATTGCTGGTAAAGCACAGTTTTACACCGTTGCCATGTACAGGTTTGAATTCTCAATAGAGGTGGTTCTGAATGTGTTTTTGTTTGTCTCAGGAGCTGCTTGAGAAACTGAAGGAGGCTGAGGAGAGCCATGGCTCCCTTCAGGCTGAATGTGACCAGTACAGGACAGTCCTAGCTGAAACGGTAAGTACCTGAATTTATAATGTATATTCAATATTTATAATGTGTATATATATATAATGTATATCCTTCCTCTTATGTATGCAGCTCATTTAATTCTGTTTCCCTTCTCATTTTAGGAAGGAATGCTGAAACATCTACAGAAAAGTGTGGAGGAGGAAGAGCTGGTATGGAAGTCCAAGATGGCTGACTCAGAAGAACAGTTGAGGGCGGTACGTTATAATACCTCCTTGAAACTATCATGACTTTTTTTTTTTTTTTTTTACTTTGTGTGGGTCCCCCAGCATTATTATTAAAAGATAACACCAGTCTCTCTCACACAACCAGGCTTTGGACAAAGTCAGTAAGATGGAGGCAGAAAACCTAAGTATAGAACAGGTGGGATTTTTTTTTTTCCCCCACACACACTTGTTTAAATAGACTCGAGGGAGGCTACAAAGTTAGAAACTTTTTTGGGTTTTCTCTGCAGTTGAAGGAGCAAATGATGCTTCTGGAAGCCCAACTGGAGAAGCAGTCAAACAACCAGGGGACCTCAGAGGAGATGGAGCAGGTACATGGACAGGTCACATCTATAGATTATAGCAGAAGTAGCACAGCTATTTTTATGTCTATGTTTGCTCTTTATGGTGGTGACATTTTTGCCTAACCAGTGGTCTGCCTAAAGAATTTGTAATCCATGCATGATATAACACTGAGTTTTTGGTGGAAGACGGAAACTTTAATGCCATTCTTTAATGGTATTGGTCTCTTGTGGTGCATTTAAAACAATTCCTGCCTAATTTCTGTTCATTTCTGTGCTGTATGGTGTTCAGCTGAAGCTGCAGCTGTCACAGTGTCAGAGCCAGCTGGATTTGGCCCAGAAGGAGGCCCAGGCACATAAGGAGGAGCTTGCACAGGTGACCTTACTGACTAAACTTTCTTTCCCATCTTCTTGACAATATTTCCACATTCATTAACCAGTGTAACTAAGGTGGGAAGCATACATGTTATTTGTGTGGTGTTACATGTCAAGGAATTTGCATAACTCCCTCCTTAATCTACATGACCAGCTAGGTAAGGTGTCAGTGATGATAGCACAAAGGATGGAGGTTGTATAACCAGTGACTAGCGATGGCTTCCTGTTTCAGGTCAGAGAGCAGCTGGGTGAGATCACGATGCTGGCTCAGCAAGAACACAATGGTCCAACTCAGGCTCAACCCAGTCAGGTCACAGGGCATCCTTGACTTTTGTCAGAGAGTACTGGACAGTGACTAGGACACTTCTCTAAGAATTCCCTTTGTTTGTTTCTTTAATTATTTCTCAAATGACCTTTGTTCAATTTAATAGAAAGTCCAAAAGACACATTTGTTGCTTTGCTTTGTTCCATATTTATTGAAACAGATTATTTTCACCTGACTTATATAGGCAAGATGCGGTCAAACCCATGTCCTAAATCAAGGATGTGGCCTTGATACACAAATACAGAGAAACCGATGACTCTGAAGAACTGCTGCATTTCCAGTCTGTCCAGTTCTCCTCTGACACAGTGGCTGTTAATGCTAACCTCTGTTTGTACTGACTTCATGGATAAAAGTCTAACCAGTGCTTTCTCTCACATTGTTCAGCATGCTCACCTTCTGTGTTTTCAGACATCTGTGTGTACAGTTATTAACAGCAACAGAAATTTTGTCTTTAGCCTTTCAGTAGTCTCAGAAGAAACTAACTTGGCACACTGGTTGAGCAGCTTTTGTGTGTGAGTGTAGTGCTGCTGCTTCGCCACAAGAGTGTCTGCATACACACGTACTGTATGTGTGTATATTTACTGTGTGCGTTTGTCTACCATCAGATCCAGAATGAGCTGAGTCAGACAACTGAGAAACTGCACAGGGAGGCGGCTCAGAGGCAGCAGTTCTCAGAAGAGTTTGAGCAGGTAGCAGTGGCCAATGAGCCATTCTCTCTAGTCTCATTACACCAAAGGGTTACTAATAAACTTTCACTGGGTAAAGTCACTGTGTGTTGGCAACCTCCAGGCCCAGAAGACTATAACAGAACTCCAGGCTCAGCTGGATCTGCTGAAGGACTCTGCAGAGTCACCACAGTCTGAGACAGAAGATGTTGTTCAGCTCAAGGTGTGTTAACAAGTAACATGCAGAATCCAAAGTTTTATTTTTGTCAGTCCTCAATTATTATAAATCACCATGAATTTGAACAATAAAACATCTTAATTTTTACAACAGCAGTTTATTTGAAAATTTTACTTAAAGTTTTTATTTCAAATTCTTGTCTTTTTGCCTTACCTTTATGCCAAATTTCTTGGTGACAATTATATTTCATAATGTCACTTGGCTGTTACTTTAGTTTGAATTACTGGTCTGCCTGTTACATAATTGGCTGTCTTGACTTGAAATGGAACAATCAGGGAGCATGGTGCTGTGAAAGAATAAAAATGTCCTGCAGTAAACTTACTGTGAAAATAAGCAGCATCATGTAATCCTTCATAATAAAAAGCTGTTATAAAGGTCACTGAATTTACTGTTTTATGGTTACAGAAAGACTGCATTTAATCACATGATTATTTCAGGTCTTGTAAGTAACACTTTGAGACTCCATATCGAGTCTCATTTTTGCCTTGAAGTAATGTCTGCTTCTGCTGTTGGAACAGGAGCGCCTGGAGAAGGAGAAGAAGCTGTCCAAAGATCTGGGCCAGGCAGCCACAAAGCTCCAGCAGCTTCTCAAGGCTTCTCAGGACCAGCTAACTAAAGAGAGAGATACGGTGAGAACACTACAGGAGCACCTGGAAGGCAAGGTGAGACAAGTGACAGTAAGTGGTAAGGCTACATATGTATATATTTAAGCTCAAACTCTTAGGAAGTTGGTTTGTTTTGACAATAACATCTTTATTTCTGTTTTTCAAGGGACAGTATGTGGCGCTGAAGGAAGGAACATCTGTCTGAGAGGAAATTTACAGTGGACACTATACAAAACTGCCAAATATGCCTTATGATTTCCATAGTTTTTCATTCCAAAACTTTTTTTTTCCTCTTGTACTGTAGGTGATTGCATTTGTTGCAACTCTAAGAATCATGTTTGGTACTATGAGCATTTCAAAGTGTGATTAGAGGAGAGAATCCTGCAAATTTAAAAAAAAAAAATCCACATTCTTTCAGCAATTCTGGCTATGTCAGAAGCTATTTATCCCCATGTCTTATATTCCAAACATTTGCATAGTTCAGTGTTAAAAGGGAAACCTGTGCAATTACTTTGTATGTCTTTTCTATGTGGTTGAATGATGGGAGCGTTTTATGTTTCGACAATGCATTTCCTTTGTGGCCTGCTTTCCTCTGTAGCTGGCTGCCAGTAACACACATTGACTTTCAATTGGTATGAATGAATAAACTACTGTGGAGCTCCGCAAAGTGTCTCAGTTGCTGCAAAGGTGTAATGAAAGGAGACAGGGAACAAAGTAAAAGTTTATTTTATATTCACTACATTTGACATAGTTTCAGATGCTGTGTGACTGGGGGTGGGTGGGGGGTGGAGCTGTTTGCAAAACTTGTTAAAGCTCTGCTGCGCAGATGGACTGTTTCTAGCAGGAAGTATTACAACGTCCTCATAGTAGCTTAATCATTTAACAGCAAAGTGTGTTATGAATTCTTTCCGGTAGCTCCGATGTTAACCTTAAAAACGGTGCGTGTTACACCGTGCAGTCTGGGGTCTCACATTTTAGTGTCACGAATTTGAAAATACGTTTATGATTGTAATTGCATAGAACCTGTGCACTATAGATCCAAATCCCCTGTACGTCACACTCTGCTAAACAGGACTGGTGTTATTTTATTTTAAAATGTAGCACAAGCTTTGGGGAAAAAGGTTTCGGGTTGTATCGATGACACCGTGTGCGTACAAAGGGCAAAGTCATCTGAGCTCGCTGGCTCGCCATAAATAGGAACTGTCTTAAAACGCCCACGTTAGACACCAGGAAGCAGGTTACGAGATGGCGTGTGACTGCTTTTTCAGCGGCCATATATGGTTTTGTTTTGGGCCTGATCGCCGTCTCACCCCGACCCCGCCCACACGCAGCGCACCGAGTTCCTGAAAACAGACGAACACTTGAGGGAGGGAGAGCGGGAGAAAACCCGGAACTAAACTGAAATAACTAGGTTTAACGGTTTTATTTGCGATAACTTGCTAAATTTAACTAAACTTGAATAGGGGACACACTAAATTCATGCGTTTAGCTTTCAGGGGCGGGTGTGATGTCGACGAACGGCGGAAGCAAACTTCCTCAAATCATGGTGCCAGCACAGCACGGACGGTCGGGGTTTTCCCCAGCATTTGGCTTAAATCACAATAAATCACCAGGACTACTGTTCACCGGGCTGATTTTGGTTATAGAAGGCTGGTCAGGTGTCCAGGTGGCTTCCAGGTTTTGTATTAGATTTTAAACCGCAGTAAATGTTTGTCAGGTGTGACATGAACAGATGAAGACGTCTTTGTGAGAAATGGTTAGAAACAAGCCAAACTCAGTTTAAAAAAATAAAAAACGGCACAGATTTTTTCCAAATGCAGGCAAGTAATTGCTGTGGTACCACCTAAAGGCAACACAAAATATCAAAAGGAACAAGTTTAACATTTTGGAAAACACTGTATAGTTTTCTGCTGAGACTTAGTTAAGATTGAGACCATTCATGTTTAACATTTGATTTAAATGCAGCTACAAATGTCACTTACAGGTAAACACTAGCTGTTTAGGTGGATAGCATCACTTGCAGTACCTGGCTTAACACAAGCAAAACCCTTAAAAAAAAAGTTACCATATTGCCTTTTTTAATTTTATTTTTAAAGGGTCAGTTTTCACCCAGTAATGTAAATGTAAACTGCCTATCAAAAACAATGGCACTGAACAGAGTATCACTAACATTAAGTGGATGGACATCTCAGGACTGACCACTGATGAGTGAGCTCAAGTTGACAATGTGACAAAACTAGGACAAAGCCAGGGGAAAGAAAAACAAAACACTAGGCCTATACAATTGGATGCATTGAATTTATTTGACAGACTGCTGCATTCTCACTGAAACATTTGTTTAATGTACCTTTTTCTAAAGGCTTTACAGGTGAACAGTCTAGAAAAACAGATTTAGGTCAAACTTACAGGCCAAGCTATTCTGACCTGGTAAACTCTAGCAGGGTGTCTAGGATATTTTACAGTCTATAAGCATATACAATGCACCAGTCATTATGAACAAATCCATAAAGTGAGACAAATGGTGGATACTGAAATATGCAAGTTTTTTTAACAGTACAACTGTACATAAATACCAAATTACTGCTTTGAGAAATTTAAATGTACCAGAAGTAAAGTAATGGTAAGGATATGTCAAAATGAATAAATTTACATCTGAACAGGACATATCTTGCAGTCAAGCTAGTGTGACTGGACAGTTTAGTAGGGCACAGAGTCTGGTGTTACAGGAATCCAATCCCATTCAGAGCCCAGCCTTTCCTTTAAGCTGTGTTGAACCAATCAAAAATAATAAAAACATGATTTGGAAACTTTGCTATTATCCTCTCAAATCCCCTTAAACTGACCCTGCTATGAAACAATGATGGTTAGTTTATTACTTAATCCCTAATGCCTAGAACAGATAGGGTGGCCCTCAAGCTTTATTAATCCCTAATGCCTGCAACAGACAGGGTGGCCCTCAAGCTTTGTTACAGTTTTCCCCAGTCTGTGTGCAAAGTCCTCCCTGTTGAAATCTGCAGCGTCATTTATCTGCATCTCATGTTTGATACCTGTTGAAGACATGAGAATTACTTAATGAGACACCATTTAACCGATGCAGTATTTGTAAAACATTAGTTAGGCTGAAGAATAAGCATTTTCATTTATATATATTTTTAAGACATCCTAGAAAAGATAAACTAAGACTTGACCAAATCAACTAAGCAGTAAAGACATTTACCTAGCATGGTCTTCTTTATAGAGTCCTTGGAACTGGCGAACTGCATTTTACACTTGATGTTTGCTGATTCAGGAGCCCTGATATGAAGAGAAATCATCATCCAAATGCCCCCCATAGGGACGGTTTAATTTAACAATCATTCACACAAACAAGAATCTAAATCCTCAGAATAAATTTAGCTCTTAAATACACGAGAACATTATAAGGACCTACCACAAGGCAAAGACCAGTTCTTCTTTTTTAGATTCGCAGGTTTCAAAGTGGCAGTCATACAGCCAGTAGCAGCACTTTTTGGGATCCATTAGATTCATGACGAACTTGAAGACATCATCCACGCCACTCAGATCTTTTTCCCGGTAAATTTCCTTCACGCAAATGTAACCATCTTTGATGTCAAACAGCACGAATCGTATACGTTCCTCCTGAACAGCATCATTTTTCACTACTTTCATTTCATTGTAGATCTCCTTAACCTGGTCAGCAACTTTTACTCCAGATGCCTATTTTGAGAAAACAAATATTACATGAAAGCATGCATAAAAATAAAAATTTGATCTGCAACTTCCTTTGCTGACATGTTTTATTTGATGTACTCTAAAGACAGCGTTTACTTCACAGGTTATATCAGTGAGCTAATGAATTCAAAATTTAATGTTCCACCACACATTAAGTTTCACAATTCTGTAAGATAGATCATAAGAAACCAAAAACAACAACAACAACAACAAAAAAAAATCAGCTAAATAACTGAATTACTAGTTTTCAACATGTCTAAAGAGAAAATGCAAATGACTGAATTTCAACTATTTTGTTCAAATAGTGACAAAGCAGCTCTTTTCTGTAAAGACTACTTCCTCATATCAATGCTGGGATTTAGTAAGTTCAGCCCAGTGTTTGACAGTTAAGTGTACAAATGCCTGAAAAATTAGACAAAAAAAGACTTTCACAGTTTGAGTACTTTGTATGATTTGGGTCTTTGCTTGTTCCTTTTGAGCCAACATTGTTCAGTTGTACTTTGGTTTTGAGATTGAAAGCAGAACTAAGAGATGAAGAAACAGGAAGTTCTTCAAAACTAGTCTTTAGAGAGAAGTGTTAATTCTATTGAGGCATTTCAGTGTGTCAAGATTATATATATATTTTATAAGCATTAACATGGCTTGGGTGTAGCTTCCCTATGAATTTTCATGGCTTTGGCTCTGTCACATTCCAGTCATTGTGGAACAAGTTAGCACAAGAAACACCGCCCCAAGGGATTTTCTCAGAACAAGTTTGAAACACGAACAAAGCTCCCTCCATTTTGGAGGCAAAGCCACACCTTGAATGAGCCCTTTCAAACACCAAGCTCTCTTTCCACTCAGCAAACCTTTCTCTCAAACAAATTAATGAAAATCTTACACTCTAGACATATTGACAACTAGGCTTCACTGAGTTTACACATTTATATAGCTAAAACTAATATATACTTTTCTAAGTTTGTCCATTTTTAGATCTCATATCCTGTGGGGAGCACAAATCACAGTGAAGTTGTAAACTGACACAGCATAAAGCAGTTCAGCCAAATTCCTTATGAATGGTACTCACCATTTTGCTTCTGATATGTGAAGGAAACAGGCAGTAGAGAAAAATGGCAGCAGCAGTTGAAATGCTGGAGGGTCATAAGGAAGGAGAAGCAGGTTGACTCATGGGGGAGGCGTTGCATAAATGAGCACACCTCCAAAGGCAGGCCCACTCCACCCCCTTTTTCCAGGTGTGACACAGTTTCAGCTGCAACTTCAGCAATTGCATTTAGTCAGATTATATTTAAATCCTAAATCAAAATGGATATATTTGCTTCATTGTCTGGCACACTTCAAAAAGTTGTATCTCTTTTTTTTATCTGCTTTAGTTTGGTGGAGGTAGAAATTCTTGTTTTTCAGGTAGAAATCCCAGGTGAGTCATAGTTAGGCGTGGCACAGAACACCCTATATGGAGAACACATCTATCCACATTTTAACTCATCTGCTGCTGAGATACAATTAAGTTGCCTTATAAGGTAAAAAGATAATAGTGAGAAAGCACAGATGTGCCTAACTGACGTAGTTATCTAATGATGAAGAGTCTCCATCAGATTCCAATAGTCATTGGTCAGCAGTTAGATGCACAAACATGCCTGGCTTGTTTTTGTTTTGTTGCTGAGGTCCAGCCTCCCATTTAAAATGAACAAATTACATGCACATGACATGCAGGTGCAAGGCTGATGAAAAGGGCATCTATTTAAAGAGTAAATATACAAATGTAAATAGTCAAGGGTTTGATCCAGACAGATCTTCATCAGGACAACAATGAAAACAAGTAAGAAAATGCATTTAAACAGTACCTATTGCAACTATAACTCTTTTCCATGTGTGTTATTGGAACAACTAAACCCTGAACTTCTTTGAGAAGTCCAGCAGTGCAGCTATGGAGGCCCAGGTCACAGGAGGGGAACCTTGGCCTCTTATCACTTTTCTCAGTTTTTTTTCCAGTTACATGTACATTAGTGAGTGTTTCTATTTTCTGTTCCTTTATACTTGCACTCCAGTAGCGCTTACTGATAACCTTTGTTACTTACTGTTCAGATTAATAATACAAAATAACCAACAAATATGATGCATTATTATAGGTTATGATAAGACTTTACTGATAAACTGGTAAGCTTGATAAGCTACCCAGTAGCATATAAAGTAACTAAAATTAGCCTTACCTTTACTAGCTGCAACATTTACTTTGACCTTTGGTGCTTTAAACATTATATTGATGCTTGTAATTTCTTTGTGTTTTTATATATCACTTCTTAAGAAAAACCTAAATAATATGTGTAAGGAGAAATTTGTTCACCCTGTATATTTATTATTTCATCGAATAGTAGTAGACTAGTTGAGATCTAGCATGTCTTTGTGTGTTATAAAATAGCTACTTTACAGTATGTCAATCAGATATGTGAGTAAAAAGGATTTAGTAAACATTTTTAAAATATTTAGGAATCACACAGCAAAACACAAAGGATTTCCTCAGTACTCGTTTAGTCCACAATGTGTAGTTCAAAATCTGTATGGTAAAGCTGCTGTCAGCTGTAAAATCATGCTTTTGAGTGCCTAAATGTCAACATGTCATATCTGGTAACACTTGTACTGGATTCTGTGACTTGTAAAACAAACTGAATTATCGTGTCAAACATCTGACTGTCTGTTTAGTAAAACTTTGACAAAATTACTTGTGAGCATTTGTTTTGAGGACTGCTTCTTAGGTTTATCATCAGAACTGTGTTGAGGCCTGCTTACCAGTTAAAAGCAGCCAGTGGTAACTTTTCGGTTGTGAAAGAGGAAACACAGCCCTGAACCACACAGGGCAGGAAATGGCTGCTGCATAGCTCTCTGCGAGTTGAAAACTTCATGCTGCTGCAAGCACATTTCAAGTCTGGCCACAACCCTTTCAGTGATGTCAAATGAAAAACATAATTTTTTGAGTATCGTGACATCTACTGGTAAATTTCAGGTACTGGACAATGTTTTCTTTCCACCAGTTATTAGATCTTCCCCTATGTTGGGTTTTTTTAAATGGCTACTGAAAAGTTATTTTTTCGCCCTGGTGTTTGTTTCTGGGTACTTATTATAATCTCCCTGGGTTTGGTTGGTTTATTTAATTTTTATTTTTACTTTTGTATTTGTTTTATTTTATCCAACTATGTTGTTTGTGAGAGGTATGTGTAGATTTTATGATTGTGTATTGATTTTTATTGTAACCCTGAGTTTTAAAAGGGCTATATAAATAAATGTACATTGCTTTGTGATGTCTAACTCTCGTACTCTGTGGAGTATAACACCATCTGCCACTGATGACTTTTGCCAGGTCCTGTCAATGTAACTGTTGCTCTTGAGGAAGCTGGTCACCATTCTTGCCAGAACCATGAAATAAATCTTTCCTCATACATTCAACAAGACAGTACTTCTGAACTGGCTGATGGAGCTGATGTTTTCCTCTTTGGGAATAAAAACCCTGTTGCCATTCTCTTGACATGATCTGTTTCTTCTACACTGTTCTCATCGGTTTCCACAGACTCCTGGGTCCAGTTCTTATACAGCTTTTAGGAGAGCCCATTTGGTCCCGTTGCTGATGCCGATCTGCCCCTTTTGAGGACCTCTCTGGCTCCATCCAGTCTTGGTGGCGAGGTGTTTTCATTTTGTATTTATGATGCATCTCCAAAATATAGTAAGTATGCAGTTTGTTTGCACGCACACCTCAGTTGTGCAAAGATGACTATTGACTCATTTTTAATTGCTTAGCAAAGACAACTCATTCTCACCCAGTTACTGTATGTTGCCATAATGGGTGTGTCAGGTGGAGACACGGAAGACGGATGGAGGTGTTACATGTTGTTTTGTACACATCTGATGTCAGTACACAAGAATTGAAATGACATGATCAGGTTTTAATGTCATTTCAATTGTATAAAATAACAAAAATAGAAAGAAAAGATTCCACATAAACAAGATGACAGAGGACAGACAAGCAAGCTACATCAATGTTACTTTCCTCACACACACACAACTGAGTACACCCATGTTCGCTATCATTAAATGTAAAATGATTAAGAATTTTAGAATAAGTGCATTATTTTAGGCTTGATTTTGTATATAAATACAATAGACTAGCCTATAATAAAAATCTGGGCCCCAAAGTACAACCTCACAGTGGTTACACCTATGATATCCAGTTAAGACTAATTGCATGAACAAGGCTATAAACTAGCCCATGAACACCAGAGCTTTCACAGTTTTGCCCTGAGTTGTCTAATACAGTGAGACTCCATATGGTGAGGTGAAGCAAGAGTGACTGTGAGACTTTATAAAGATAGGAAAGGGTATGAGAGCATCAGTAGGCTATTGAACATAAGCTGAAATGCAGTTACAACAGTGTTTAGGAGGTAAAGACAGAGCCATGCCACCAATAACGTAAGGTGCAGTGGCTGCCCTTTATATCCTAACAAGAAATTTGAAAGCCAAAACAAGTACATTTGTCATGTTTTCATAACAAACAGCAAAATTCATAGATAAGATCAAACTAAAGCTTCAGTAATTTTGTATGTTGACAAGCCTGCATCTCTGAACAGCAGTGTTCCAAGTGATGCCCCAAACTTTGTATTGTAGGAATTTGGTCCAGGTTCACTGAAGCCAAATGAGGCTAGTCATCCTCAAACTTGGCTGTCTCTTAAATATTTGTGTGGTTAGCCAGGCTCTGTGTCATGAAGTATGAGCAGGTCACTTGTCTCCACACTTTCACCAGTCCGTTTGTTTTGGCTCCCCATGAACAGGCCAGATGTGACACATGTGGATGGATTACCGAAAACCACACTGGTCTGCAAAAAAATGTGATCAGTGGAGTTGTTTCTTAACAATATCCGGCCCCACTGACTGTATTAATAGTTAATCAACAATCATTCACAGTGAAAAAACAGACATATTTCAGATTATTCTAACCATTTATTTTGTGTGATCTTTGCAAAATGTTATACATACTAATAATACAGAGATTTGTAGTTTCTTTATTTTGTCATTTGATAAAGGTTTTTCATCAGGTAAAAGAGCAAAACATCAACCAATAAGACAACTTTTTGTTTCGTCTGCATTCAAAAAAATTCAAAACTGGAATATATGAGTGATACAACGTACAGTATATTGTAAACATGGCGTTTTAAGCATCTATGTTTATGTGAAATGCCATTTTCACTCAGTTTGCTTAATTTATAAAAATACAAGTGAGTTGTAAGGGATTGTTGATTTACTGGACGTCCTCAGATGTCACACAGAGGTCTTTGCTTGTGTTGTCTCCAGAGTTAGTTAGTAGATTGCCAGGCACATCCACTGTAAGAGGGAGCAAAATGGTATAACGAGCTGACTAAACAAGAAATGCTGACAAACCAGCAGGGTTTGTTATTCTCTCACACACCTGTTGCATGTCCAGCTCAATCTTTCCTGAGTCACCTTTTTCCAGAGCTTTAAACATTTCTAGTTGAGAAAGAGAAATAATGTAAACATGCCACAGCTCAGTATGAGATACAGTTCATGTTTGTTGACACTTACTGTAGTGCATTTCCAGTTTAACAAGACAGCTCACAAAACCATCGAAGTCTATAGCATAGTGTGCATCGGCATAACGATTGACAATGGCCTGCAGCAAGGCACTGTTGATGTTGAAACCTGTGGAGGACAAATAGGCTTGGTCAGTTTCATGAATGTAGCTTATTTCTCATCCTGGGGAAGTATAGTGTTTTAAAAAGTGCCAGATATTGACATTGTGATAATGGTGGAATTGTGTTTCATGGCCTTGCCCATTATTGTTTTGTCCCTGTGCCAAAGCATATAAGAATCCTTTAACTAAGAAAGTCCTCTAACTGGCTTATCCAGTCTGCTAATAAATGCCTTCCTTTCTCACGTGCATACAAACATCCTGTTAGCTGTGAATCATGTTGTTATTTGTTCCTGCTCCGTAGTTTGAAACACTATTAGCCCAGAAAAAGGGTAAGCACTATATTTATGAAGCCGTATTTTAACTTTAAATCCTGTATCTCTTTTTTCTGTGTCTCATAACTTGATGAATAGGTGTCAACTATAGGGTAATACTTTGCTCAAGGATCACTTTGAGCTAATAATAAAATAGAAATAATTTGTCTTTGAAACTGGGTAAATGGCCAGTCTGCCATAACTGACAGTCATTAGTTGGATGTATGTGATGTATGTTACTCCTCATGTGATAATGTCCATTACCTGCTGCAGCAGCGGCATCTCTCATCTCATGTGTGCTCATGGTGCCAGAGTGGTCTGTGTCAATAAGCTTGAAGATCTCCTATATGACCCAGGCCAGACCCATGTTGTGTTAACAGATGCATCTAGGCATTCCAGCATGAGTGACTAACATTCATTTCAAACCGCATTAGACACAACTTACCAGGTATCTCTCCATTTTTTTCCAACACACGTAGAATTCTGTCAGTCCCAACGTGCAGGTTTCATCTTTCTGGAGAACGTTAAAGTTTATATGAACCTCAATCTGTGCATCTGGTGATTAATGATTTATTGGTCATTTATGTATCTTAGCCCCAAAGTTCTAATAATTTGAATATCCTCTCACAGCAACAGTAATGTTGCTGTGAGGACATTCACAGGTTTGAGGCACCATTACTGAACTGTAACAAAATCAGGGAGTCTTTAATTTTTCAGTTTTTAACAGGATACATCCAGCAGATTGACAATAAGGTGAGCTGTGTCAAGGCTGAAGCCCTTTGTCTTGATATCAGACCCTGTAAGAAAGTCACAAAACACAGCTAGCTTTAACTCTTAAATCAATAAAAATAATAGACTATAACTAAATTATTCAAAATTTCTTTGTACTTACGCTTAACACAAGGTTGTTCAAAATTACAGCCAATTCATAGGCACAAATCTCCATGTCCTGGTAGAAATATATAGATTATTATATGAAATGTAACTTCTTAGTCAATTTCAGAGATGATTAAACATTTCATTTACTGTCCCTCCACCTACATCACCAGCAATGCGCCTGAAGATCTCCTTAAAGTGAGGATCCACATCCTTCTCAGATGGTTCATTCTGTGAGACAGAGACACCACAAGTTTGTGTTAGTACTGGTAAATAAAAGCACTGTATTTTCAACTTTTAGGCAGGTTGAAATATCAGTGAATATTAAAACATATTCAAACTCAGTATTATGGTGGAAAGAAAATGTAAAAAAAAAAAAAAATCATATTATTCTAAGAAAGAGCAGCAAACCAGTCTGTAGATTTTCTTACCTCTTCTATTTTAACATGGATTTTCTTCTCCAGTCGACTAAAATAAATAAATAAATACATAACTGAGATTTACAGATTGAGTACTCTGCTGTCATGCAAGCAAATAGTATTTACAGAAATGTATGACTGTGAATTTAAGACGGCTGTGACCCGACTAGGAGCTGGTCTGTGATCTCAGCTTTGTCCACTAGATGGCGCCAATCAGCCTGCATTTTACTGTTAACACAGGTACCTGGAGGCAGCTTGTTTTTCTGAGAAGACCCTCAGAACGAAGTTGCCGTTCTTGTGAGGCTCGAAAGACGAGGGGATGATGACGTATTCCCCTGGAGGAAGCGTGAAGCGCTCACACACTTCACGTGTGTTGGTGAAGGAGCTCAGTGCTACATGGTTCTGACGCAGAAGTACATCAGGACCTAGACGAACATTGTTACGGCCTTTGTACTGGAGATGAACAGGAGATGAGTTTTACTACTGGAATGTCAGACAGCAGCCTATAAAGTCACAATGTAATCAAGCAATACTCTGATAATCTCGATGACTATTTTGCATTTAAAATTTTCATTTTAAATATGAAGTCATTAATGGTTTGTACAAGAACAAATACAGACCTCATCTGGGACCTGTAGAAAAAAAAAACAATGTGTTTTAGATCTGTCAGTTAGTTTAAAAAAAACAAACAGTAAAATGCAGAGTACTGATTTAATATAAAATATGAAATTATTTTGAGACACCTTATAAATGACAAAGCCAATGGACTCATGGTCACGGTTAAGTTTCTTCTGCTGGCGTGAATCCTTTTGCATCAACCCCACCAGAAAGGTGCATCCATCCTCCCCATCCAGAGGATTATCATCTACATCCTCCAGGCGTATCATAAACTGTGGGTTGGATGGGAATGTAGCTGGAACACACACAGATGTGTCATCATGTACATGAAGTAGTGTTGCTCAGGCATACATATGGTTTCTGTCCTACCTCGATTATTGCGGCAGCCACCAGCAGTGGAGCCAGTCCTCCACATCCCTTCAAACTGGGAGTGGCTCCAGCAACTTGTACTTTCGCTTGTGATCGAGTCTGGGGTCAAGTTACAGATCTCCAACTTGGAGAAATTCTTGGTGAAGTCTGAGAACGACATCCTGAGCAGAGGAACACATTACTCATAGTCTGAGCTTTAATAGTTATTTTGGTAATGTAAGATATTATGATTATCAATCGACATGACAGAATCAAGAAAATATCAAAGTTATTATATATATATACTGTAATGAAAATGAGAGGTTAAAGGAACAGATTTACCAGAACTCTCCATCTTCAGCCACGCTGTTCAAATTAGATTTCTCATCTTCATTGATGTAGTTCCATTCACGGGATCTAATTGTGATAAACAATCATGTTTTTAGGAAAAGCCTGGAATTAACCAGTGAGAGCTGATGGTTTATGAATATAGAGTGTGACTATTTACCCATCACTCCAAGGTCCTGTCCACTCCACCTGACCCCAGGGGTTCCTGAGGCGGACCAACTGTTCCCTGCTGCCACGGTAGTTAACCTGGAGGAGAATAAAAAAGATAGCAATATAACCTGCATGCAGTAAAAAAGAAACAAATTAACCAACAAAAAACAGACCCAAAAAAACTGTTAACAGTCTGGATAAATCATATACCTCTTCTGCACCAGTGAGTGAGTATGCATGTCCCTTGACAAGTTTGAGGGATGTAATTGCCTCTGAATCTCTGGCATTGGTAATCTGAAAGCAGCAGGAACAAACACTTTAGTCAAATGCCATCAGTAACACATTACTGCTGGTGTTTTTGTCTGCAAATTGGCATGCAAACCAGTGTAAAAGAATACTTACGTCAACAGAGCAACCTAGCAGCGACCCCAGGCTCAGGGCCTTCTGGATGATGTAGAACAGATTTGATGGTGCCTTGTTTAGCATGAATGTTTCTGCAATTCCTCCTGTGAAATCCTCAAAGCCCTCAATAGTGCTTCCACCTATCAGGGCCTCATAGCTGCCATTCAGTCTGTCAGACACAGGGAGGATATGAATAAATTCACCAAGCATATACAGTATTGTACATTTACCCTACATTAGTTTTTGATGCGGCAAAAGATGTAAATGGAAGAACCCATACTTAGCATAGGCCTTTTCCAGCAGCGGACTCCAAAACTCTGAGCCCTCAGCTGAGTGAACAAACAGCAGCTTGCCATCTTTGGTGGGTAAACGGTCATCAATCACCACGTCCGTCCAATTACCAAACTGCCAAAACTGAGAGGAAAATGTTCCCATCAGTAAACTCAGCATTACCTGTGGTCGGTCTGTCACACCACAGGCAATGTGAAGCTTTAAAATTCTAATCAAACTCAAAATTATGTACACGTTTCACTGTTTTTAATCTATTCTTTTACACAGCGTTCGTTATGAAACAATACAACACTGTTTGGTGTATCAGCTGCAGTTTGCTGGATTGACCTCAACTGTTACCTGGTGGTGGCACTGGAGGGACTGTTGAAAATTTGTATACAGGTACACTTTCTTTCACATGTGGTTAAGTATTGATCGCCATTGCAGGAGGACGATTAGAATGTGTTTTTGATAAAACTCATTTATTGTTGAATGGACTGAGTGGATCTCACCTTGATATAAGGAACTTATAAATTAAGGTTCAACAGTTACATCAAAAATGTGAATGATTGAGGTGCTAGATGAATTGTTGTATTGAACTCCAAATCTGTACTTGAAGATTTTGGACTGTGCAGCGTGTGTGTGCAAGTTTTTTTTTTTTAAATGGGTCATCATTACTGTTGTCTGGAAGGAAACAATTAAAAAGAAATCAAAAAAGCAGCTGAGACATCTTTGTCTGACCTTAAAATGAAATATCCCAGCATAATTTTCAGTGAAACTCTGTCCAGGGGGCACCACACGATCCAGGATCTGCTGGTCCATTGTCAGGGAGGCTATGGCAGCCAGGAGCCAGCAGTCACCTGTACAGTAACAGCAGATAGATGCTCTGGGATTGGGCAATATGTGACATTCACAACAGAGCAACAGCGCCATAAGCAGCATGTCACCACCAAAGTGATGATTGCAGTGCTGTTTGTGGTTCCCTTCCTAAAACCAAAACACCTCATCCATCCATTTGTTCACTTAATCTTTTCTCCATCCTCTTTCGCCTCACTTACCTAGAGCTCCTTGGCAAATGTCTGTCCTTGTAGCTCCATCAAGGATGAACTGGGGGTCGGAACAAAGCTCCTACAAAGAGCAACACACAATGGCAAACAGCTGAACAACTGAGATTACTTAAAATGTTTCCTGTAATTATGAGAGGTACAATTAAGATTCCTACATTTTAGATTAGGAATACATAGACAAATTACTGATGAAATGTATCATGCCAGTGAGAAGGTACTAGGAAATACTCCACTTAAAATGAAGCTTAAACTTTGGAAATAACATATTGGTATGATCCAACACATTTCTCACTCTCACTTCTGTTCCAGTGGAGGACATGAGGGATCCCAAATGATTCTTGTTCTCACAGGAGAAAATCCTGGATCTGAATTCTACAGTAAAAACAGTGATTTTTTTCAAGTGTAGTGTTTTACTTTACAGCTTGTATTTTTAAAACTATTATATTTACTTCTACCTCCACAAGTCCTGGCTTGGCAAGATTAAATAACTGCAACTGAATAAAAAAACACTTCTAGTACTTACTGTCAAGTCACTGTTAAGTTATCCAACCATAGTATAACGAACATTTCTAAGTATTTTTTGAGGGGTTTCTTACATTTGGTCTTTTCCAAACCACACCCTTCGTATTGGGTGAGTATGGTCCCAGTTCCTTGTAGCCAAGGGTTTTGCGCTCAGCTGGAAAAGTGTTGTCCTCAAACAGACGGTTGCTCTTCAGACACTGCTGGCGCAAATCATCATAATCCTGCTGTGAGAACTTCACTGGGGACTCGTTGGTACCAATACCCTGTTCCCTATCCTGCTTACGGGCCAGTCGATTTGCTGTGGATGTCATCCTTGCCTCTTACTTGTACAGAATATAGACTCCTGGATGGTGGAACTGGATTTCCCTCTTTGTGAGTTGGGTTCACCTGTGAACTGATCTCCCACCTGTAGACACAATCCAGATGTATCTTTGTCACAATATCCTTTATAGTTGCCTGAGGAAATGGGAAGAAAGGGTGGGATCATAGACAGGGAGAGGCGTTCACTATACAGGTGACACAAACAAAGCAGACAGCAGAAACCCTACGCAAATGTGAAACGAGATGGCTGTGACCACACCTCAAATGCAAACAGGTGAAGCACCATGCTCATTTCAGTTTTGTCTGTGTATTTGTGATGGGCAGTGTATTGCATTTATTGTCTCCCAGTCTATTAGCAGGGGAAAGAACATTATGTTTGATTTAGGCATTCTATAATGATCTATAGCATAGGCATCCCATTAGTGTGTATATAAAATATAGAAGTGTTTTTGGAGGGGATTACATCCAGCACACAAATATGAGAGTTGTGAAAGCTTAAATGCATGTAATGAAGCAACTGTTAAATTGAGCAAGACTAAGACTGGGATAATAATGACACTGCAACACTAAGCCCAGAGAATGTCTGCATCCAGTCAGCTGTGGAGCATATTATGTTTCAAAGTGTGACCTTATATTCTAATTTTGTTTTTATATCCTCTATACCTAATACACATAAGCCTACAGCAAAGTCAATCCTTAGTCAAACAGTTGTGTACTTCTGCTTGATGAGCTGGTTTAATCACACTGAGTATCAGCTGTTGAATGGAACACTGAAATAATAAGAGAAGATGATTCATTTCGTAATTGCTAGTACTGCATACACGTATAGTAAATAAGGATATGCATAAAAGGTAGTGAATGGCTGTTAATCCACCCTTGTTTAATTAAGTTTGCTCAGAAAGGAGTTTCAAACAACCAAAAGACATTTAATATTACTGTAGTGCTGGTGACTGTTAATGAGCTTTTGATCCAGTGTGGAAGCAAATGTGATGAGTTGCAGATGTATTTTATGTCTGACAAACCAGCTGATGACAGTAGATTGTCAGATCGTTTTTGTTTTATGAGCTAACTTTATTCTGAACTACATTTTTCAGTGCCAGCCTTCCACACCCTGTGGACATACAGTATGGGATATCTTGCTAAATAATGACTCTGAAGTTATCCACAGTGCCTCAAAAGCTCACTGTCTTAACTTTTGTGGGCATTTTGTAGAAGGGCGGGTCATAAACCAACTGTGTGTACAAAGTCTTGTTTGCAAACCTAACATGACAAATGAGTGCCAAAAATAACTACATCTCTCTTTTTCAGGCTTTCAGGCTTATGGTGAGGTTACTTATTTCCACTATGCACTGAGGACCATGTATAGTATTAAGGTAAACTGGGAGTAACCACTGTGAGTGCTGATGATATATGTATGCATGAGACATACAAAAAAGGACATAAATTGTTTAGTTTGCATAAGTAAAAATTCAACTAACTTTGTTCTACAGTGTAGGCCAAGCCGGAAAAACATTTGGTTATGTTATGGTTTAGCTCTGCTTCCTGATTTTGAGCTTTTATTTTGTTAGACTTCCTGCCCTGTGTCACTTTACCCCAGTTCTCAATCACTGTTCATGGTTTGCACCTGTTACTCATTATCTCCTGGTCTACAACCCATAAATACCTCCTCCTTCCCCCTCAGTGTCTTGCTGTCCATATTGAAGTGGCTGTTCACTCTGCTCCACGAGGCTCACCACACCCTGCTTTTTGTTCTGATTCTTGGCACCCATGTTGATGGCCGATGAGGCTTTGTTGACGCTTCGACACAGTATTCACACAAATGGTTCATTACTCGAGGCTTCAATGACACCGTGCCCCAGTAGGACATCTAGTGGTCAAGAAATTGAAGTGCAGTCAAGACGTGTCGCTTATTGGTTCATGGATTGTTTGGGATTTGTTTCACCATGCACATTCCTGTTTGACTACACTACATGGTTGTGTGGTTTCAAGCTGACATAAAACAAACATGAACACATGTTGAAGACCATGTTTCTTATGTGGCACATCTGATTGTAACCCTATATGCTCCTCACTTATAGTTTGTGTTATGAAAACATTTAAATGGTGCTGCTACATTCATGAGATGTGCTCTACAGATTCAGACAGATGTCATTTTCACATGGGACTGGTGCAAATACAGATTATAGTATGGACTTCTGTAATCGGTCCCTATGTTCTAATATATAATTACACAAAGTTGTTTACTGGGTTTAATTACTGTTTATCCATACCTGACATCCAGAGCCCAAGTGTTCCCTATATGTTGTGTATTGGGTCGCAACCTCCAGCTCCGCCTTGTTTCTTCTTCGTTTGCCCCACTGTCTATCATATAAATATGATGTTGTGTCATACCCTCTTCCCTTTTGATATGTTCCACTGGGAAGAGGTCAGTTTATTATCTGTTGTAATCCTTTTATTTCCTGTGCCCACATCCTCATTTTTACTTCTTCTGCATAACCGATAACTGTTGATACTCATACATGTACTGTTATTATGCTGTTATGACATTTGCTGGTGCTAATTACTTAGCTTTGTTCCAACAACAATGTATGCTAACACACTAATATGATGTATTTTTTTATATAGACTGGGCTTGAGGTCCCGCAGCACATGCTAGGTGCTGATTATTATTTCATGTTGTCAGGTATGTTATCTGAATATCTGCCCTTTTGATATGTTCCACTGGGAAGAGAATGGGCTTGAGGTCCCGCAGTACATGCTAGGTGCTGATTATTATTTCATGTTGTCAGATTAAACGGAGCGCGCCTCCAAACGCAGTCCTGGTGTTTCGTGGGTCCTTCAGCCACCACACACGCCCCAGCCACAACACAACGCAGAAGTCCACCGGTCACACTT